AAAAGTATTCTTTAAATCATTTCTAATGAATACATACAGTTTTTGTGCTTTTAGTCACTTTAAAAGCCGGGTATTATGCATTTTCATCGAATTTCCTTTAAAATTTGATTAAAATCACTGCTAATTATCTACCTTTCCAAAAGGTATACCTGGGTAGAGTAGACTTTAAGGTACCCCTTGCATTATGGTGAAGTTGTTGTTTCATTTATGGTAGCCTGAATAGTTCAATGCTATGGAAACCCTATTGTGACATAATCAGGTGCATGATTCTGGAAATTTTGAATCATGGGATGTGTTGTAAGTATTTTTGTGGTGTATGATTTGATTCTTTAGACGGTAGAATGGCCAAGTGTAGTAAGATTAATTTGAAGTTTCTGTAAGATTTGGAGCGAAAGGGAAAAAGAGCTTTAATTGACTGGTGTGTAAATGAAGGTTTACTTAGTAGCCATTATAAGTGTCCTGTATGTAGGAAGGATATGCGTCTAGTCGAACATAAAAACTGTTTAGATGGATTTGAATGGGTTTGTAGGAAGAAAGGTTCAGATGGTCACTCTGTGAAGCATTCAATCAGAAAGAGTACCTCGTTTGAAAAACGTCATTTGAGTATGATTGATATTTTGATTTTTACGTGGATCTGGGTGTACAAAGCGAATTCGAAAATCACGGTAAGTGAATATTTGCTTTTGGTAGTGTTTAAATGTATAACGTGGTTTTCCTTTTTTATGTTATTTTTATTGTTTGGTTTAAAATGTTTTTATTGAAATTATGTATTTTTGTTTGCCTATATTGTAGAATTTGGTGCTCCTTTGACTTTGTAAGTGAAAATATATTGATGTGTACATGGACAAAGGGAGTGCGCAATGCAAGTTTGTGCAATTCTGGGATTCTTTTTAAAGTGAAAATAGGTCGACGTGTACATGGATAAAGTTAAAAGAGTGCGCAATGCCATTTTTGTGCAATGCGGGGATTTTTTTTTAAGTGAAAATAGGTCGACGTGCACATGGATAAAGTCAAAGGAATGCGCAATGCCATTTTTGTGCAATTCGAGGATTTTTTTTTTAAGTGAAAATAAGTCGATATGTACATGGATACCAAGTTTGTGCAATTGTTTGTCTTGTTATTTTGGCTTTGTGTAGCAGCGATTTGCAAGCCAAAATAACGAGTCAAAAAATTGCACAAAATCGGTATCTATGTACCGCCAAAAATCGCCAAGGGTACCATAAACTATACTTTTACCGGTATAACTTTTCATATTTTTTTTTATAAAAATGAAACCTTGGTTTAACCTTTGGATTATGGTAACTTGGCAATTTTTTGGCGACCAACCCTGCTACAGCAACCTGCTAGTTTTTGTTTCGACGGCAATTTTTTTCCAACAATCTGCTAGCCGAATTATGCTTATGCTAGTACTTTTATGGTGCTTAATCATGATGAAGATTAGGTGCGAAATTGGGAGAAAGTGCAGAATCGCAAACTGCATGCCGCGGTTTTAAGAATTGACTATACACGGTATCCATGTACACGTCGACCTATTTTTACTTAAAAAAAATCCCAGAATTGCACAAAAATGGCATTGTGCACACTCTTGACTTTATCCATGTACACTGCTAAAGTCCTAGCTAGTAACCTCTATCGCCTTACCAAAATGTCGCCAAACTACCAGTTACCATATTCCAAAGATTAGACAAAACTTTTAATGCTGCTTTTACTTGTTAAATTTGTTTTCAACTATCATGCGTCTAGAAAACATATCAAATAGCTATTATCCATTTAAAATACCCTATAATCACTGTTTGCTCTGTATATAGAAATCGCTTTACGCTTAAGACTTTTTTAACTACTGTATATTCCGGCGTATAACGAGCACCTATAAGTTCAAACTGCATTCATTAATTTTTAGGTATATTCTCCATATAAGGCACACTCTTTTCTTGCAAAGAAACGTGTGTGTGATGCTTTTATTTTTTGAAACCATTCATTCGAACTATGATGTACTAAAATGACAAGCGATAAGAGGAATATGTGTGTACTAGTAAATGCTTAAGGGAGAAAATAATTCTGCAAAGAGGGTGGAGGTTGTATTCAGTGCAGCTGGGCACAAGAATTATGATTCGTTTTTGAGAAAAGGGGAAAAAAATTCAGGATAAGAATGATCTTCCGACCTGAACGAATTCACAGAATTAAAATTCAGATGTTTCCTCTTTCTGTAGTCGTTTGAAGCCGTGATATTAAAATGAGCATCGAAGGCTTTAATAAATGCATTTGCTTCATTTGAAATAGTTGATTTAGTGTTGCTTTTAGTATTAAATAAGGCTCCAGCCATATTAACACTATGGTGGTTGCAAATGCAAAGCTATTTAGTTTGCAAAAGAAAACGGAAATCATGCAGTAGCAAGGGTGTTTGTAGTTGTCTTGTCCATATTATGTGGAACAATGGTTGCCGGAGCCTACTCCAAAGAGAGGTTGAAATTCTATTTTCCACCCCCAATTTTGAAGGAGGGATCCAGGGATCTTATACCCCTCTCCACTATCACCAATCCACATGAGAAGACTTTTGGCTCGTCACGTATTTACAGTGGCACCATACTGCACCTACACTATACACTTACAAACATCTACATCTTCTCCAGTATTTGAACCCGGGTCCTTTGGTACCAAAGTAAGGCCCCCCTAACCACTATAGCGTCTGGGCAACAGCAAGGGTGTGTGGTATTGGTGAAAGATGAAACAAATTATGACTATTTATTTATGTATCAGAGTTACAATGATGGTGAAGATGAATTTGAATTAGATGATGTGCCTTAAGATATAGCAGTAGATGAACATGACGCCATGTTATCCGATAATAAAAATTTTTAGCTTCATAAGATATGTCATTTCTTTTAAATAAACAGCATTTAGGTACATGTAAAAATCTAATTTTTGTGTGCTGTTTTGGTCCTTATTTTTAATCTACCATTTTTCTATCTGGCGTATAACACGCACTCATAAATTGTGACCTTACTTTTTGTATTAAAAGTGCACATTATGCACCAGAATATACGGTGTGTATATATATTTTACAACAATATGTTTGCTTCGTATATGAAAATCATTTTACACTTAATATTTTATTAATATATATTTTCCAATGATATAAAAATATTTTTCTTCTTTGTTTATAGAAAAAATATTTTGTTCCTTTTGTTAAACCAGTTATATTATAAAATAGAATACATTCAAAATTACACAAAATGAAATATATTTTGAGGTCAAAGCCCATTTTGGCAACTTAGATAGCTTCAGTAATGGAAGGTGCCATGAAATGCAAAATCCATAATTCATGTGAAAGTTGGTCATAATCATGCAACATTTAATTAATAATTTTAGATATTTACTTCAAATCAAATCAAATCAGATACCAAATCGTGACAAGCTCGAAAAATCTTAGTAACATTAATAAATACCAGTATATCAATTTATAACTATCTAATTTCAGCTAGCTTAGTTGGCAGTAATATAAATAATGTAAGCATTAATTCAAGCTTTTTAAATCAGTATATGTAAATACTAATAACAGAATTTGCACTAACATGTTTGTATGATATTTCTTTTTTATCATTGCTCAAAAACTAGCTATACTACACATTTTAGGCATATTAATGAAAAATATGAATATTTTATATAACATAATAAAATCGCAATTTTAATTAAGTAAAATAGTTATTCTGGTGTACATTATTAAAATTTGGCCCATTCTTATATTCTGCTTACGTTTGCTGTCCCAGAAAAAAAATTCAAGTTAAATTATGTTTAAAGTTTTATATTGCATAAAGATGGCTATAAATATATTTCTGCAATTTAAAACATAAAAAAAAATTTTTTTTTTTCTTTAACAAATCAATAGAAAAATAATTTGCCTTCCATTTTATGTCAAGACCGTTACATTGAGATTATTTTATCCAAAATTAGTTTGTAAATCTCTCTAAAAGGAGCAGTACATATTCAGTGATATAGATTAGTCAAGCTAAGTTTGACTACTTGAATATGTACTGCCCCTCTTTAGGCTGATTTACAAAGTAATTGGGGGTAAAATATTCTCAAGGTAACAGACTTGACATGAAGTGGAAGACAAATTATTTTTATTGATTTGCTAAATTTTTAACTAAAAATTTTCATCTGATTTTTTTATATTTTAAATTGTAGAAATAGATTTATAGTCATTTTATGCAATGCATTGCTCAAATTAAACTTTAAATATTAATTTATTTTGAATTTTCTTCTTTTCTTCTGGAATACCATATGTAAGCAAAATTTGAAAATGGGTCACTTAAAATTTCACATCCATGTAATTAAAAATGCTTCTATTTTTAATTGCACAAAATAATTTTATATTAAATGCAAAAAAGATAATGAAACTTATGAAAAATATTTCAGTTCCCATACTCTTTTATTGAGAAATGCTGCAATGCTTCTTCAGTGAAAAAATCATAATACATACATACATTAAAAACACTTATTAATTTCAACAGAATATGATTTTTAAAAAACATTGCAAAATAACGCTATAAAAACATTTGTAATTATATATCCATAACCATTAACAGATAAACTTTAAAAAAATTTCACTACAATTTTGTAATGTAATGCCGAGAATTTTTAGGAACATTTCTGCAGTTGTATTTTAGCATTTTATAAAGCACTGCTATTATACCACTAAGAAAAATAATATGAAATTAATCCGCAGGTCCTTAAAAGAGGTGACAAGATTTGGCCTATGGTAATATACAAATCAACTGAGAAATCTGATACTGACAGAAAAATTAGGTAAAATAAAGGAAACTAGCGATCAATTCGAATATAGATACAACATAGTTACTAAATATAGCATGCTTAGATATATATGTTTAATTTATTTTATTAAAAAAATATCTTATTAGTAGATTTTAATAGGCTTAATGAAAACGGATCATTTTTGGGTTCTTTGCTTCCACGTTTTTAAAAAATGAAAAATATCTCACCTTCGCGCCAATTTGATTACCGCACTGGCCTGCTTGAATGTGAACAATTTCTCTCATTATTTCAAAATTATGTTTCAAATTCAATAACGTTTAAACAAATAAAATAAGGACGTATTCGAAATATCCAACGTGCTCAATGCACACCTTCGAAAGAGCTAAAGAACTTCAAAAATACGGTTAATGCCTTTGTACCAATCACAGAACTGGAAAGATACGAAGTCACGAGGTTGCAAGTTTTTCCATGGTTACTGCATTCGTTTTAACGAGCCGGAGATGAAACTCTTGGCGGCCTTTTTCCCACTAATGGTTTGAACTTCCCAAAATTCAGTAATAGATTAACGCCCCTGATTATCATTCGAGTTTTTTCTTTTGAAGATGTTGTAAATACATGAAAGTCAATTAACAGATTATGCGTAGTGTATGGATTTTATTTATTAATAAGGGAAAACAGTTTCTGGCGGCATGTATCTTTGCTCCCTTCTTTTTAGAAAGAGACGGTACTTTTCTTTCTTTTGAATAAAACAGGTATGAAGAATTTTCAGCAGGAATCAAAAATGCTTATCAATCTCGAGACCAACTAGAAAGGTCTGCTATAATTTATTTCATTGCAATTCTTTTAAAGGATTAAAAAGGGAGAGGGGAATAAACGGATTAAAAATATCAGCACTCCAGACCAAATAAAAAATACATTTCTTTTAAATCACTTCTTCCAAAATTTATATAGTTAATTCTCAATTAAATTAGCTGATAATGAATTATTTTTGAAAGAATGACTTTGCTTTGCAAAAATTAAATATGTTTTGGTAATAAATATATTTCGAAAATTTTAAACAGTACTCTAATAGTTTTATTTATTTAATTTAAATGGAAATCCTGCCTTCATTACCCTATGCAACTGTTTGGGTCATATACACTTTTACTAGTACGATTTAATATTATCCAGGTTATTGGGGTCCTCCTGCTATACATTAGCTTGACTCTACTTAATTAAAATTTATATTAAAAAACTATATATATTTAAGAGATAAGGAGAAGACGCGAATCTTAAAAGAATAACAATTTAAAACCCCTTGTTTACAGCTATAATGTAAACCCGGTATTTTATCAAAAACAGAAGTTTAATTTCTATGGAAGGTTTCAACTTTGACATTTTTAAAGCATTTCTTATTATTAATATAACGTGTAAATTTCTAATTAAACATCGTATAATACTACTTTATTTCCTAAAGTCGTATAAATGCTTTATACAAGCAGATAATTATCAAATAACTTAAAATTTTAAAACATTGCTCATGTTTATAGAGGTCAGTCCAGAGCTTAAATTCCGGTACTTCTTAGTTTTTTGGGATAAATCATTATTCTAGCCGGAGCGCACGGGAGCCTTAAATAAGAATGATCCAACACTTCTTTTACGTAACTGAACAACAATTTCAGTAGAAAGTTGTAAATAAATAAATAAAATAACTATTAAAATAAAATTTTATTTTTTTGCAATAAAATTACATTAAATATCGTTTATTAAATTTTAGTTTATCTCTTTACATTTTGTTTAATTTTAATTATTTAATTATTTTAATCTTTAATTATTTAAATAAATAAATAATTTTTATTTAATTAAATGATTATTAATTAATTTGATAATAATTAACTATTTAATTTAAAATTATTAATGATTTTAATAGTCACTTTATTTATTTATTTACTTTTGTTCCTCTTTGCTGACTGTCTCCCATAGGGCTCCTTTCACTTCTAATCTTAGAAATTAAGCCCTGGGTTAGTCATAACCCAGTGCAATAGTCATAATCAGCGCATAATAATACGATATAGAATACAGTTATTTGGTTTGTGTTATTATGTACAACAATTTATGCGAAAAAGTTCTAAGAAAACTAAGCAGATACTCTCGAATTCAAGAATTGGTGACAAAGCAACTCCTTCTAGATAGTCACAAGGCCTGAGCCAACACCTTCTTTGTAGATAGTTCGAGACGGTGTTAGTACCAAGGAGGTTAGAATGGTTAGTATCAAAGCTGTATGTATAGTAGAAGCAGCTTTAGTGAGTACTATCTGAGATATATCCCTTACGTTAGGGAGAGGGGAAATTAAAAGTGACCTGGGCAGGGGCGTAGCTAGAGGGGGCAAGGGGGGATCTGTCCCCGGGCGCAGAATCCAAGGGGCGCCAAACTGATGTTACGACATTTTAGAATTAAATGTTTTCCATCCCTGGCAAGCAGTAGGGGGCAAGAAATCATCAGTTGTCTCTGGGCGCTGAAAACCCTAGCTACGACTTTGGACCTGGATGCATATAAGCATTTTGTACCGCGCCACTCACATAGAGAAAGATCCCTGCGCGTGATTGGATACGGCTTCCGATGACATCATTTCCTCTTCACTTTGCTTGGGCTCGAGGGTACACCTCCATACCTTTTGTTTACATTTTGATAACAGTACCCAAAATATTATTACGTGCGTTGTATTTTTGTTATTATGAGATTACACTTCATACAACACAGTAGATTGGTGAATTTGATATAAAAACTGTAGTGATTTTTTTTTTTTTTTTTTCCCTAGAGAGAAAAAGTATTAGTATTTCTTCTTGTGCTAACCCTTAAATGGGTATTAGTATTAAGTGCAGAGATTTTTAATAAGCGTATTCTTAATTTAAAACCCTTAATCTCCATACCTTTTGTTGATGATCACCTCAAAAAAAGATGCTGTGATTATTAATTAATTATTTCATGTTCATTATATATCCATTCTCTGCTGATGCAATCTGCGGTGGTGTTGGTGGTGTATTTAATTACGGCAAAGCACACTAGGGCTATCTGCCTAAGGGGAGGGATGCCTTCGTGGAGGACTTTCTAAGGGAAACTGGCTCGTATACACGTTACACATGGGGAAAACCACGAAAACACCCATGCAGCCAGCCCGTTCGCGGGATTCGAACCTCGGACCGAACTACCAGTGTTCAGCGACTTTACCGCTCGGCCGCTGGTGGGCGATGTAATCTGCGAAAGCATGAGCTAGGTCAGTTTTCAGAAATAGCAAAAACGACGTTGGGAGCTAACATTATACAGGTACACAATAAATTCACAATATTTATAATCACTTTGAAAAAAAGTTTTTTTTTTTTTTTTTTTTTTTTTTTTTTTTTTTTTTTTTTTTTAGGTTAGACTAATATAGATTTGGAACACAGAAATAGAAATATTTTAAATTGAATAATATTACCTTATGAATATTGCCGTTTTTTAATGTGTAACATCTTTTGTAGCTTTGCATAAAAAATAGTGTTTGTCAGAGAAGGAGGTTTCTTTTCTTATATTCTTATATACGTGTATTAAATTTAGCGACAGTACTGAATGCACTTTTTTCTTTCATTTAAAGCAACAGATATATTAGAATGGCATGGACATTAACATGAAAATAACATAAAATTTACAAAGAAACTATTTTCTGCAATGTGAAGGAAACAGAATGCAACAAAAGTGCAATAATAATAATATACTTACTAGCACACAATGCCTTTACAGTTGGATCCAGATCGTCTTGTTTTGGTTTTTGCACTAAATTCATTCAGCTATTTATATAATTTGAGCATGTAAGATTGCTTCTGATATTAACATCATCTTTGAAAGATTTTATAATTTTATTATTCCATGAAACAGGAAACCATCTGTAGAACGCTGCAGCTAAATTTTTTTGTTTCAAAGAAAACAAACGATAATTTTTGCGCTTCAGTTTCACTCATGCGCGTTATTCAACGAAAACCGTAAGAACCCCGCCTAAACGTCATTACGCCAAGAGAAAACGGTGGTATCGGAAAGTATGTCCAATCACAAGTATGGATTTTCCCCTATGTGCTTAGCGCGGTACAGAATGCTTATATGCGACCTGGGTATGGAGGATTTGAGGGAAGCAGTGCTAGAAGCTAAAAGGAAAGAGAGAATCGCGAGAAGGAGGTTGGTGTCAGGGCTTTTTTTTAGGTTGGTGCCAAGGCTTTTTGGTGCAGGATACGCAATGTATTACCAGAGATGGGGAAGAATCGGGGGTGGGGGCGAAACAGCATGGCCACAGGAAATTTGAACGCAAATATATAGGTGTGAAAACAAAGAAAGAAGAATGCAACACTTTTCGAACATGAACCCCGCCGATTTAATTCTAGCTGTAAAGAAGAATGTGACAGGGCTGAGACGTAAGCTGAGAATAAAAGTAAGTGTAACAGAAAATTTTCGTCCTAGTTTTTAATTAATCCTTCCAAAAGTTCTACTTCTAGCACTTTTAGGAACTAAAATTCCGCTCTCATTCATTGTAAATTCCTGGAGAAAAAGTCTTTAACATGTGGATGGGGGCTTTTCTGTTCTCTCAACTTGATCATCAAAGGGCTTGTTTTCCAGAGCCATTTGTTTTCCAGAGCCTTCCAGAGCCGTTTTCTGCTGAACTTGTGCTTTAGTTACGTAAAAGAAGTGCCGGAACCCTCTTACTTAAGGGCTGTGGTGTGCTCCAGCTAGAAATAAGGTTTATCTTTACTGAGAAATACCGGACCCGGGCTGCAGTGGACTCCGGCGCAATTTAAGCTCTGTTGCCCCATCACATCTCGTTAGTACTAACCGAAAAATTAAAAAAACTGAATCATGAAAGAACTTTTCTAATTTCAGGTCAAGTATACCCAAATTTATTAGTACATAATATTCAAATGATAAAACATCTACATCAACAACGCATTTAAAAGGATTTCTAAATCATAATCAGAAAACAAATTTTCAAAAATAGAATTTGAATAAAACAGAAAATATATATATATATACATTTGTGCATCTGCTGTAAGCATATTGATTCAAATTATCAAGTTTGAAATATTTTTCAGTCTTAAAACATACTGTTTCTTATGATAAAAGTAAAGATGGAAAATCAAGTTCAAGCATTAGTTTCTTCTTATTGGCGAAACTCCGTTTCAGAACTATTCAACTGTCAGCAAATAATAATAATAATAATAATAATAATAATAATAATAATAATAATAATAATAATAATTTCTGTGTAACAGAAGATCACCGAAGA